CATTGAATGTAACTTACAAAACATTAGCCATGCAACTGCAATCATTCTTATGCTGGTCATATAATTATTTTTTTTATTTGAATGTCCCATACTGTATGTAGATAGATTGTAGTTTAAAAAACGTAAAAATTCGTCATAATCTGAAGAACAATCAAATGACCGGAGAATGACTTTGTCACTAATCACAAATGCAAATCGAGCATAAAATAACTTGTGCTCACATAAATATAACCATGATAGGAATGTTGGTTAAGCCCCGGATTTCACAAAATATATACAGTACGGTGCGGGAAGAAATGCTCAACCAACACCCCTACATCTAATGACCAGAATGGAAATGTTTGTGTAACCGTTCGTCAAATCATTTTATTTATCTTATTACAATATTATATGCTACATCTATCATTCGTCGGTAAATAGAAAAATACGTCCCCTACCCATGATGTGATGATAACGAGTCATTTAAGTTTCGACTCCAAATACTACAATGGAACTGCTCCTTTTCGGCCTCAATTGGAGTGGGAAAATAGAAGAAGGTGATTGCGATAAGAATATAAGATATCTATACAAATTTATTATAATTTTGGTTAGAATAGTTGAGTGGAATTCGTTGGAACATCTAGTCAATTTTTCACTTACAATTAACATGTAACCTTCTAGCCAATTGGCTTCGTTGTCCTATTTAGAAAAAATTTTTTAGAATCATGCTTTTTAGAAAATAACAACGAAAAAAGAAATAGACCTACCGCAACCAAATAGTTTACAATCAAAACGGCGCAGGCCAATACTGAAATTTCTAACACATTAAAGTCTAAAGTCAACGGATGACCCATAAACCAACCAACAATTACTAGAATCGGTGTCACCAATAAAGCCATTTGCTATGCAGAATCAAATCAAATGCGTTATTATAGATGAAAACCATTCGGTTTGAAAAAGAATATAAAATAATTACCACAGAAGTGTTCATTATTAGACTGACGGCTGTATCAACTCGATCGTAATACGCATCCTTTATAGCTGTATAATGTTCAATAAAACTAGAGACGACTAAAGAATATTCGGGTATGAAAACATAAAATGAATAAATATTCATAAAGAGAGAATAAAGCTCGAGTAGCGCATATCATACCGCAAAGTGGGAACAGCACTATGCCAATAAAACCACTTCCAAGTTGATATTCTTCGCCCAAGACTTCAATACTGTCCACAAGATATCTCGCGCAGAAGCTAATTCCAGCGATCGAAATTGCGATTCTATGATGCGAGAGAATTGTGAGATGACAGCATCACCGATTTAAAAAGAGATTTTCAAAGACTTACAAGAATAAATCGAAATACCAAGGGTATGCAGGTTCTTCGCATTTATACTCTTTTGCATCAATTACCTAAAAAGTTCACAAGATAAAATCAGATAATTTTGAACAATAAGATTAAAGACATACAATAAATATTTACCTCTTTGACATGAGTTTTTAACTGGAAAAATAATAATCCTATATAGACCAGCATAAGAATGATTGCAGTTGCATGGCTAATGTTTTGTAAGTTACATTCAATGCTTTGAGCATCAACTCCTGCTCCTCCAAGAGGTGTTGACGCAATCTTAAATGCGGCGGGAGTGACCAGGGCGAGAACCGCCAAAGCCAAAATTGAGGAACTTGTGTTTACAAACAATTTTGCTTGAAAAGATGAATCCTTTAAACGAAAAATGGCACCCTGAGATGAATCCTTATTATGAAAAGAGTGTTCTTGGAGGCGCTTGTGGGTTGGCCATGATCCTGCCAAAAAAGCGATGCCTAGAACCTAATATTCATTCAATGGATTAAAAATACTGTTAGTAT